GAGCGATGTGACCATCTCGGCGCCGATCTGCAGGTAGCGCGCGTCCCTCGTGGCGTGGTAGAGCGCGTAGCAGCTCTCGGCCAGCTCGGGCCGCAGCGGGTAGTAGGCGAGCGTGTCATGAAGCTTGCCGCGGTCCACGTCGAACCGCTCGGGCAGCGCGTTGAACTTCCGCCACAGGCTGTGGAAGGCCTCGAAGGTGGCGGCGGCGGGCCGCAGCTCGCCGGCGAGCACCTGCAGCAGTGCGTCGGTGAGTCCGCCGGTGGTACACACGTCCTGGCACGGACGACGGGGCACGCGCACTCGCGGGACACATGGGGGCACGCGAGGCGGTCTGTGCGATCTCGGAGAGGGTTGGCAGTCGCAGACATGCAGAGGCGGCAGTATGCCGGCCCGACTCTCGCACCTGCAGAGCTGCTTCTACTTCGCAAGCGCGCTTCGGTGTGTGTGTGTGTGTGTGTGTGTGTGTGTGTGTGTGTGTGTGTGTGTGTGTTTGTGTGTGTCGGAGTTCTAGTCGAGAGAGGAGAGAGAGTGAGACGCCCACCAGCCCCAGAAGGCCTCCAGAGAGAAGGGATAAGGGGGGGGGAGGAGCGCCTGCAGCGCCGGCCAGAAGGCCTGCAGCGCGTCAAACTCGACCCGCTCGGCGCGGCGGTGCCCCTTGTGCATATCCGCCTCGCCGTACCACGGGCCGACCTGTGGGCGTGTCGTGGACATGTCGTGGACAGGTCATGGACGTGTCGTGGACGTGTCCCGCCGTGCCACAGGCTGACCCGCAAGTGCTGCTCGCATATCTCCCCATATCTCCCCATATCTCCCCATATCTCCCCCTCACCCGCAAGTGCTGCTCGACCGCCGACGCGCTGGCGTTCCACATCGCATACAGCTCCGGCTTGCCGAAGACCAGGTACGCCTGGGGGGGGGGTATGGGGAGGCATGGGGAGGCATGGGGAGGCATGGGGAGAGATGGGGAGAGATGGGGAGGAGCTGAGGTAGGCCGGGCTCTGCGGCGGGGAGATATGGGGAGATATGGGCGGGGAGCGGTCAGTGAGTCAGTCAGCCAGTGGGGCACACGTCCTATAGCACGGAGGACTATAGCACGTCCTATAGCACGGAGGACGGGGCACACGCACACACGCGGGACGCACACACGGGGGGCTGGCCCACGAGGCGGTGTGTGCGTTCTCAGGGAGAGGCATGCCCGCAGACAGAGGTGCAACGGCCAGAGGGGCAGCGGTGGGTGGGCGGGCCTTGAGCGAGTACTCGTAGAAGGAGTCGACGCCGGCGCCTGAGATGGGGAGAGATGGGGAGAGATGGGGAGGCGACTCAGCGATTGAACCCACTCG